TTTCCCATTGACTACGAGCAAAACGGCAGCAGGTGGGGGGGTGCATCAAAAGACTGGTCTTTTCCCATCGAGTAGAAATTGAGCCAGCTGCAGTCAGACCGACACATCGAAGGTGCAGCCTTTTGCAATCCACTAGGCATTCAACCCACTCTAGTCACGCCAGTACATCAAAGGTGTGGTCTTTTGCCATAAAGTAAGAATCGAACTCGTTGCAGGCAGGCAGGTACATCAAAGGTGTGACCTTTCCCCATAGAGTATACGAATCGAAGCCGCCACATTTTTCCCTTCGCTGGGGCTTAAACCACCAGTATCCCAGGGGGTCCTAGGCCCCCTATACTAGGGAGGCTCTGACGCAAATGCCTATGGACCCACGCGACTCCGTGGTTCGGCCACCGCCACCGCGTTAACGGCCTAAAACACGTGTAGGTACTGGTTGGTTTAAACTGGTGGTTTAATAGGGCTGCCAAGTTATGCATACGCTGCGGGAAAGGCAATCACTTTTCAGTTAGAACGGCACAATGAAAGAGGAATGCATACAATTACGAATTTGTTTGTTGAAAGATGTAGTACAACGATTTGCAGCTCGTGTGCCCAAGACGGGAGGTAGGGGAATGGGAGGTTTGGTGCCTGCATGCACTGGGAACCAATGATATTCCAAGGCTGATAGTTAATGGCGGTTTTGGGACTGAGTTATATATTGCCGCCTAAATTCTGGCTGTTGCATAGGCAACCAATCTAGCCTTCCGGGAGTTGTGTAGCTCCATCTCCCTCCTCCTCCCACCACGGGTCATGCCGCGGCCTGATGCAATAATCTGATGCCTGTACAAACAACCAAGTATGATGTTTAGGGGCGCTGGACCCGGTTTCCAGCAGGTGCTGCTCCCCACCAATAGATGGGGCCTCCCCGAGTGTGTTAGTGGTGTCTGCTCTTATCAGCACCTCTAGCATCACCTCGGGCTGCTTAGAAAAAAAAGAAAAAAAAAGAGGAATGCATACACTTGATTGACTGAACGTCGAGCTAAGAGACGATCGCAAAATAGATCCCCGTATCGCATTCTTTTGTGAGACGGACAATTTTTGTGTTCCCATGTCTTGAAGCTACTTGTGGCTGTCAGATGCTCAGTAATTGCTGTGCCCTGCTGCGGTGGGGCCACATAAATTGCCACAATCTGTCCCACATTGTCACACGGGCCTGCACAGCGCGTTTGAAAATTCCTTGTTCAAAAAAAAAAAATAATAATAATAAAAAAAAAAATGCAACTGACATTATGTAGACTCGAAGACATTGTTACTTTGGCCGCGATGTCGCAGATAGATCGTGTACCTCGTTATCAAATTGTCAAATTGTCACACATTTCTACAAACTATGGCACATTGTCCCCAAATGGTGCAAATTGTCCCACATTGTCCCACAACGGTGCACAGTGGGTTTTCCCAGCCACATTGTCATGTGCTGCACCCTTCGGGGGCCCGGCCTGCTCGATCGAAATGGCTGGCAGTGCCAGGAACAAAACGGAAAAAGGAACTCGCATGTGCTGGCTAATTTTTCATCGGCGTGCAGCAAAAATCTGCGTAAGGACAAAAAGGCTGCAAAGTACTGGTGGTTTAAGAGTGTGCAACAGCGTGTCCTGACTGCAGACAAGTACTGCCGTCGCCACTTCCTCGTTCTTTGTTTGGTCTTTTGCTGTTCACTTGACAGTCACAGGGTTTCCGCAGAGCTCTTCTTAAGCCCATCCGCCGTCCTGCCGAATCATGGGTTCTCATGATGCTTTTTTTTTGTTTTTTTGTTCCCCCCCACCCCCCACCCAAACCACCCACACCCCCAGATGGAGATTCTGTCAGATTCTGTGGTTGAAGATGAAGGGTCCCATTCGGCACACCTAGTAAAATCCAGAAACTCGATGAGTTTTCCCAGAGAATTGCTACTCAGTCCTTTCCTATGACAGCAACTGCTGCTAAACCAATTCCACTACTTGCCCTTCCAGGATTGAACATGCATGCCGCAAATAGTTGGGCTTCCCTCTACATACTCTTAAGAGGCCCACATGTTCCCTCTATAAAAAAAAAGTACTATTAAAAAAAAAAAAAAAAAAAGGTACTCTGCGCCTGTCTATTTTGGAAATGAGCATGAGATCACTTGAGCGACTGGTTCGTTTACTTCATCAATGCCACCAACGGGCAGGCATAGAGTACTTTTTTTTTTTTTTAAGACTACGTTAATGCTGTGTTAAACCACCAGTACACAGCCCCAGCCTTGCAGCAAAACAAACTTGTTGCCACAAGGAAATCTCGGGGCTCGGGGGAGGCCAGGTAGAGCGACGGGAAAAAGAGCTTGTGGGCCCACTGGAAAAGGACGCTGGACTACAAGTCCTCGTACAGGTTTGTTTCCATATGTGAAAACAAAGGCGGGGACAAAAGAAAACTAACGATGGAAAAAAAAAAAAAAAAAAAAAAAAAAAAAAAAAAACCACCATCAAAAAGAAAAACAATGCTGGCACCCGTTGAAACAGGCCTGCCTCGTTTCTGGAGGCCGACAGGTCAGGCGCCTGTTTCCACGGGCACCAGCTGTATCAACGGGAGACACTTGCTTACCTCTTTCTTTTGTTTGTTTTGCAGGTACACAGCTGCAGTTAAAGAAGGGCAAGCAAGCCCTGCCTGGTTGGCAGATGCAGATCCCCGTCCGACTTCCTTCTCTCTTTTTTCTTTTTTTCCTTAATGCAAACTCATGGTATCACTTTACTAAATGTATCTGGCTGCAATTGCAGCCAGATGTGGTTGAATCTGATGTCAATAGGGCCAGCATGCTGTTGTGTCTTTTACCACGGAATTGGGCCGCACTTGCGGCCAGATGGATCGAGCCCGTGATGTTGCTTCGGAACTCCCTGCCACTGTACCCGCCACTGCACTCATTCGGGTGCAGAGGCTGCACTACGCCCTGCCCTGCTGGCAGGGCAACAAGAAAAAGGGAAAAAAAGAAAAAAAGAGAAACCAAACTGCTTACCTCTTTATCTGTTATTGCCCTGTTGTATCTGTTGCGCGGGAAAGGCCAGACACATGGGTGGGCTTGCAGGAGAGTTTCGCAGGGAGGGTGGGGGTGGGGGGGGGCGGACGAGTGAAAACAATGGCCTCTTGTTTGTACCATCTGCTGGCAGCAGGTGCAGCGCTCGATCCGAGAAAGGCCGGTACCGGTACCACCCTCATTTTCCCAACTGGTGGTACCGGTTGCTTCCAGGCTCGGCAAAATTGAACATTCAGGCCCTTACAGATAGCCTAGGGTGTACTTTTTTGGTTCAAGCAGCACTTCAAACAGCTACATGGGCTGGACTGGACTATTCTCGCTGGCTATGGTCAGACGACGACGCCAGTGTCGTCGACAGTTATTGCCCGTACGGCACACTGGAGGGAGGCTATCAACGTGAGGCGCTTGTGCTAGAAAGGCTCCGTGTGGATACGCTTGTGCTAGAAAGGCACACGGAGCCTTTCTAGCACAAGCACCTCACGTTGATAGCCTCCCTCCAGAACCGAACCTACCCTCATACAACGCTAAGGGGAGTGGGGTGTTCCATAAGAACTTAGAAAGGGGTAGTGGGAGGGGAGAGAAAGGATACCATTGTTACTGGATGGAGTTGGGAGATGCTTGGCAATGATCATCGACTGTGTAGACCTTCGAGAATCTTCACCTCTCTCCCCTATGCCTGACACAGTTGCCTGCCACAATGCTCTGTCATGGAAGCAGAACGGAACCTACCCTCGTATTTGTTGGGATCTAAAATCTGATTATATTCTGATAGCAATCATTAAGTTCATCCGGAGGAAAGTGGTCCGGAGAATCGGCCTGCGCTCAATACATCTCTTGTGTGTGTTCATCTCCTAGGCTTGAACTTCATCCCTGCAAGTTTTCTGCCCTGAAACATTACCGCCACAATGGGATTGTCAACTGAATTGCAACAGACATGGACATCAATGTGATCACTCTGAATGAGAGTTATGTGGCGATGAACGGAAGGAAACACCCTCCACAAGCCTCTACCCATTTTCCTTTCCCTTCTTCCAGATCTCTCTCTCTCTCTCTCTCTCTCTCTCTCTCTCTCTCTCTCTCTCTCTCTCTCTCTCTCTCTCTCTCTCTCTGCTGTCTGTCTGTCTGTCTGTCTGTCTCTCTCTCTCTCTCTCTCTCTCTCTCTCTCTCTCTCTCTCTCTCTCTCTCTCTCTCTCTCTCTCTCTGTGTCTGTCTCTCGCGCAATTGACGAGATCAGCACGTTTTCATGAACGTGTTCTATCTCCCTACCTACAGCTGGGATTGCTTTTGCACTGGCTTTCTCATCAACATCTCTCTCTCTCTCGTGATCCTCGGAGACTTTCGCACATATATATATCGTCACAAACAGAACTGCCCGGTAAACC